GGGCACCAGGCCCTGGGACAAGAAATGTGTCTTCAGAGTGCACAATTCTGCCAGTCTCCCATACCCAAAGGGTGAGCCTGTGTGGCAGGGTCTGGGGTGGGACGCTCTGGCTCTGCAGCAAGGCCAAGTTCCTAGAACAGTCACTCAGGGCTCCACGCAGGTTCTGACCAGAGAGGGGACACCAGGAGGCGTCTGGCCTCCCAGGCCAGTGTTATTGTCCTCAGCAGGGGCCTGAGGAATGCCCAGTGCCCAGGTCCCACCACTACATGGGCCTGAGCCCAGATCTGAGCCCTCGTCTGCCCTGATGCCGCCCAAGAGGCTGCCCAACATCCTCTCTGTCCCCCTGGCTGGAAGAGGGCGTGTGTCTGGATCCTGCTTTGGGCCACATGAGCTGGCCATGCCCACTGCTAGGAAGCTGACCCAAGGGAGGTCAGTTCCTCCCACCACAGCAAGAGCCTCCTCCCTGCTGTCCCCTCAGCAGGGCACAGGGGACAGGAGTCCAGCTCTTGGGTGATCAGGCATGACCTGGCCCAGCCCTGCCCACTCAGGCCTTGAGGCTGGATACCTGGGAGAATGTGTGAGTCATGGGGAGCTCCAAGCTTGTCCTATCTCCACTGGGACGTCCCCACCAGGTGCTGGTCACCTATAGGTGGGGAAAGCTCCCTTTTCCAGCTTAGTGCCCATCTGGGTCAGGGGTCCCCTGTGTTCAGGGACCCTCACACATCTCAGCAGGCACCTGCCACCTGCTCTTGTTTGTCAGGACAGCTGCCAGCCGTGTCCTAACACTGACCCACGCCGAGGCCCAGACCCTTCCCTACTGGTGTGTCAGCTCAGGAGGTCCTGACCCCATTGGCACTCAATTTCCTCATCTCAGAGAGGTTAAAAAGAAATTAGTCACCCCAAATTTGGTGAGAATGGGGAGGCCCATGCACTTCAGGACTCTTGCCTGTAGCCATCGAAAGCTGGCATAGAATCAAAGACAGGTGACAGGCCCCCAGAACACACCCAGATGTGAGCTCCTGAGAGGGCTGAAGGAGCAGGTCCCACCTGAGGCATGTCCAGAACCCCCGTGACCTCAGGGGTCAGCTGTGTCCCTACTGTCCCCTCTCAGCAGAGGCCAAGAGCAAAGCCTCTGATCATGGTGGGGTGTTGCCCAACTCAGCATCTAATTTCAGAGGGCAGGAGATGTTCCCCACCCTCTTCTGCCCACCACCTCCGGGCGCACGTACCTCTCTCTCCGTGGGTGCCACTCTCCCCCTTGGACCCTGGGGCTCCGGGCAGCCCTGGGCAGCCTCGCAGGATGGCGAGCTTGTCGGAGCCCTGCAGACCCATCACTGTCACCTCTGTACAGAGACACAAGTATTCAGTCAGTGCCATCATCTTGGGCCTGAAGCTCTATAGCTGCAGAAAAGCCGTCTAAACTGTCCCCTTGGTGACATTGGGCCTGGGCTGATGGCTGCAGCCATAGCACCTGCCTCAGCTCGAGGCAGGCCTGGGAATGGGGGTTTCTGTTGTGATGGGAACTTGATCCACTGCAGGGGGACTCGTCAGATGAAGAGGTGAAGAGGTGATACCCTGCCCTGCCCCCCCCCCGGCACATATGGTGTCACTCTTCTCTTGGGCAAGTCACCTCATCCCTCTGAGTGTCTGTCCCTTCAGCTATCAAGTAGGAATGATGATGAAGTTATGGTAAAGGTTAAATTATAGCACAAACGTTTTACAAATCCTGACAATTCATGTCATTTAGAAAGACTCCTCAACAGTGGACAGACACTCTCAATGAGTAAGGACAATAAATAAGTGTAAGACAGCTGGGGAATTGGGATCACAATTTTCACTGCCAGACCATGGGAATGTGAGCACAGAATTAATTACGGGGCAGCAGTAAGATTTCTAGGTGACCTGGGCTGGGGTGATGTTTGATCCAGGGACACAGAGAAGCTGTGGCACCACTGGGACCAAACACAGACTGTTTGTTTCTTGGAAGAAAGCATTTTTAACTGTGTTGATTACAAAATTAATACATCCTCCTAAGGGACGGCTGAGAAAATATAGAATTAGGCCGTGCTCTCCCTGGGAGACACGGGCAGCTGCCGTTGGGGTGTGTTTCCTCTCTGGGCTGTGTTCCTCATTCCCCCGGACCAGGCTATAATTTACTATTTATGTATCGCCCATAAATATGTTATCTGCCGGGTGGCCGCTGTCCCCTGCTGTTGTGCACAGAACCAGTGGCTCCAGAGCCCGTGAGGGAGGTCTCGCTGCCTTCCACAGCCCCACCCAAGATGACTGAACTGGGCTTTCTGGGGACAGGGCCCGAAATCTGCATTTTTCACAAACCCCGTAAGTCAGGGCAGCAGTCCCTGAACTAGAGAATCTTTGAATGTCTCTTGGCCAGGAGATAGAAATAGAAAGAGTCAGAGTCAACAATACTGTTTTTCTTCTTTCTCAGTGTCTAGATTGTCTAGACCCATCTGTGGGGCTCCAGGGGGCAAATCTCAGGCTTCAGGTGCAGATGGGTGCAGAGCAAAGTCTGCCTCCTTCCTCCCCTAAACTTTGGCTTCTCTGAGCCTCCCTCTCCTGGCCTAAGGGTTGAGGTGAGCTGTCATGAATGTTCCTAAGAAGTTTTTTGCTGGGGGCTTCGCCTGGGACACCCAAGGTAAGAGGAGTGTCATCAGCAATCATGGACCAGGAAACCCCAGTTCATCTCACCTGGACAGGTGTCAGCAGCCTGGGCAGGCAGGTCCTTGATGTGCAGGAGCAGGACAAGCAAGACTGCGGGCAGGACTGTGGCTCCCGGGGCCATGGTGACTCACTCCGGCCCCTGCCTTCAGGTCTGTGACTCCAAAGCCTCCCAGCGGCTACAGGGCAGGGGAAACCAGCCCTGTTTATATGTGCTGCAATTTCTCAACTCTCTTTGGGACACCCACTTCCCACAGGTTGTATAGTTGCACCAATGGGTGGTATGAGACAATCTCCAAGGATGCCTTCCAGCTCTGGCCCAGCAAGCTGACTGCTCAGTTAGGCTCACCTCCCTACAAAGACAGCCTGTTCCCCATCCAGAGAGCTCCCTAGCCCTCTGGAAGAGTCTGCCTCGCTCATGGCAGCTTAAGGAAAGCCCAGCTGCTATGCCCTCTTCTCACTCCTTGCTGTACTCAGAAAATACCCCCAGAGGTAAAGAGGGGTAAAGAGGTAAAGGGGGAGATGAGGAAAGTTCTGGAGAAAGAGCTTTCCTTCTTCATCTAATTTCCAGAAAATTCAGGTTTGAGCCAGTCCTTGGGCACTCAGCAGGGGGGGAGAGAAAAAGGCATTGGGCACGTCTTGTGTGCCAAGTGCTACGAACATTACACCAGCCCCGACGAGCAGAACAAATGACCTGAAAATTACAGGAGGAGAAATGGAGGTCACACAGCTAGTAAGAGCCAGATGTTAGAATCCAGAGTCTAACGTCCCTTGGATCACTGGGGCTGTTCTTGTTCATTACACTGACAGTGAGGACACCTCTCATCTCCCCAGTCCCTGAGCCCATATTCTGCCTCTGGTGCTGTGAATCCCACACAGCCTGGACATGTTATGGGCAAGGAAGGATTTCTGAAGAGGTGCAGAGACAGTCACTAAGAAGACTCAGACTGTAACAGAAGAGGGGGAGCAGAGAGAGGAACTGGTTTGGGTTTGCTATTTCTCTGGCCCAGTGTGTGGGTGGGGTGTTCAGCCCATGTAGCAGAGAAGTGGACTGATGGCCACAGGGGTTTAGCAAAACAGTGGGAGGCTGAGGGGCACAGGACCTTCTGTGCAGGCTCTGTGGGCACTGGAACACCACACTTTGCATTCTTCTGTGTGGTGGCCTCAGCCTACTGGCCTGGAGGGGGGAGCAGGAAACAGGTTCCATGGCCTCAGACACCACTTAGTGTCCCTGAGCTACTGTGGCTGGTGGAACGGGCTGGACATCAGTGGCACAGCCTCCTTTCCTGGAGCCAGTTCAGGAGTGAGGTTCCCCTAGGGTCACATGAGGATAAGGAGAGCCAGCAGGTCTGTGTGCTCAGCCCACCTGCAGCAGCCCTGTAGGAGTGAGGTCCTTTCCTTTGTATTGTCAAAGGACTTATTCCAGGTACGATGTCAACAGTACAGTCCATTATCAAGTGAACGTTCCCAGGAGCATGTGGGCCTAAGAGTATAAAAGAATGCAAGATTCTGACAAGCTGAAATATCTTAAAGCAGAATCCATGAAAGTTATTTAATTTCTGGCAACGGTATTTCAGGTATCTGGGGCCACCTGTCCCACTGAGGACAAACAGATGAAACATTAAGAAATAGATCTGCTTGAAGGTAGAGTCAAAGTTTGCAGAAAAGGACCATCTTGTAGCCTAGGAAAAGCACAGGCTCTAGAGAAGTGAAACCAGCATGTGGGGCCTATTTTGCCTGGGGGATTTGCTAACTCCCAAACAACAGCTGAAAAGTTGAACTGATTACTTTTTGTAATTGTGTTACTTTCACAATTTTTCAGTGGTCAAGGTCAAAGGTCGGTGTTTAGAACCTGCCAAGAATATGGATTTGGGGCTGGGATCCACAGGGCTACACCTTAGGAACAGGGTGAATGAGCGACACCCAGCCCTCACGTGGCCTGCAAGCTGGATTTGAGTCTTCTAAGCGCCCTGGGAAAAGCATTTGAGCTCCTGAAATTATGTTTCTAGTACCCTCAGGCTCCTAGCTGAAACCAACACAAACCTCCGCTGGGAAAGAATAGCGTCGTTCTAGGTCATTATTTTTAAAAGTGTATTTTTGGTTTTTTGTTTTGTTTTGTCTTCAAATTAAAGGTTAGAAGACAAAGATCGCCAGATTCATGAGAAGAAAGACAGCACATACAAGAGTCAATGGAAGCGAGTCCGAAGGGGCTGCAGATGCTGAAGTTACGGCCAATTAATGGTAGGAATTGAAAGGCATTCCTGGAGACTGAGAGCAAGCAAGAAGCGAGACGCCACCTTCGTTAATGCCGTGTGGGTGCCGCCGCCCAGCACAGTAGGCAAAACGTCAAAGGATTGGCAAACCAGATAAAGTTCTCATTTTTAGAAGAGATGACTGAGTATACAGAACAGTCAAGAGTTCTAAGAATAAACTAGAATAAATAACTGTAGCAAATGGAGATTGTGTTTCTAAAAACTAGCCACAAACAATTAAAATAAAATTGAAGAAATGTTGCAATAGCAACACCAACTGTGAATAAATCTAGCAAAATATATGTTAGTCTTTGGTGTAGAAAAAGATCAAACAGGAACAGGGAGACCTAAAAAGGGGTCAAAATAATCAGAAGGGTATTTTACGTTCGTGGATGAGAAGACTCAGCGTCACGAGGACATTCATTTCACCTGAGTTATCTAGAGAGTCACTGCATTATCAATTAAACTCCCATTCTCGTGATAATCAACAAGGTGAAAATTTAAATTTACATAAAAGGCACAGGGCTGATAGCCAAGGTACTCTTGAGCAAGAGCAAAGAGGACGGTTTTTCTGGTACCAGAAATCGTAATGAAGCTGCAGGAACTGAGACTGTGGGGCTGACTCGGGGTTCACAGTAAGCCAGCAAAACCGGCCGAGGTGTCCAAAAGCAGATCCAGGCACAAACTGACCTGCGGTTTATGACGATGGCTGCTCCATGGAGCAGTAGGAAGGAATGAACTTTCAATATACAGTATAAATTACTGAATCCCATATGGAAAACCAAGAAATGAAACCTGACTTGTATCATGCTAAGAAAAATCAATGTCAGGAGAACTGTAGGTCCAAATGTGAAAGGAAAAGTTAGATCACATTATAAGATGTCAAACCGGGCAGCACCTTTGGCTCAAAGGAGTAGGGCGCTGGCCCTATGTGCCGGAGGTGGTGGGTTTAAACCCAGCTCCGGCCAAAAACTGCAAAAAAAAAAAAAGATGTCAAACCACCCTGGGGGTATTTTATACAGGACAGAAAATGACTCACCAAAAAGGAGAAGTCTAAAGGTTGATACCGAAATTAAGAGCATCTGTTTTTTTCAAAACACGCCAGCAAGAGAGTGGACAAAGCAGCCACAGAGTGAGCGGGTGACATTTCACACAGAAGCGACTGGGGGCTGTATCCAGAATAAAGACTTTCTATAAATCAATGACCCTAGAGACAGTGGGAAAGTGACTTCAACCGACACTTATAAAAGAGAATACTTAATAGAAAATGGGAAAATAGGCCTAACTTCATTAGTAGTCAGAGAAATGAAACTTAAACTCCCATGAGATATCACCACATGCTGAAATTTTTCCAAACAGCAAACTACGCTGGGTTTTGGTGAGAATGTGTAAGGAGTGGAGACTGTCGTGGAGCACGGCTGGATGTGCTCATTGGTACCACCACTTTGGAAAGCTGTTTGGCACCATTTCTAACAATTCTCTATGACCAGCACACTCTCAGTGACTGTCCCCAGGTCTACTCAACAGAAAGGTGCCCAGGTGTGGAGGAGACATGCTGGGAGTCACCCAGGTGCCCATCCACGGCAGAACGGGGCCCATCAGTGCAGGGATGTTCATGCTGGAGAATCGTTTTCAGCAATAAAGTGAACAAATTACAGCTGCGTGGAAAAGCTTTGTTGAAATGTACACGCAAGTGGGGCAGGGAGTAGAAGGCGGCACCGAGGAACAGACATCCTTCCCATCTGCACAGAGCCCCGCCCAAGTGGGCAGAGTGACTGCGTGTGCGGGGCTGGGGGCACGCTGACTGAGTGGCGGGGGAGAGGGAAGCAAATGCCTTCTGCTCAGACCACAGTTCCCTCAGCAGGGCCGAGCCGCCCGATCTGGAAGGGGCCTGGGGCTGACCGGGCTGAGGCTTCATGTGGGCGGCACACTTTGGGTTCATGCACTTTGGTGATAGGTGTTATAGATCACTTTAAAAAGGAAGTTTAAATAAAAAATTTAAATAAACCGGATAGAATATGCAGGTGCCACGGATACCCGTTACAGTTCCTGCTACACGCCGCAGCACAGCTGTTGCCAGGAACTCCCCGCATCCCTGCCTTCATTGGAGGGAGGCCGAGCATCCCGGCTCGTGCCACACCTGCTGGGACTATGGCTGAGATGAGCCTTTGCAAGATCAAGCAAGAGGCCAGCCAGTGAGGCTGCTCAGAGGCTGGGGTCCTTCCCTGGGACTGCGTCCACCCAAGCCACAATCCTGTAAAATGTGGTGACTTATTATTAAATGAGGAAGCGCTATTGCAATGAAACGAAAATATGCCACAGTCAGGAGCTTTGCCGTCCCACCCCTAGTAGTGCCCTTCCTCTGCTGTGGGGGTGGTGGGAGACGCCCTGACTGCACCCCTCCTCCCGAGATTGCAGCCAGGGCAGCCCAGCTGCCTGCCGCCCCCTGAGACTGGGCACCTCTTCCCTCCTCTCCAGTGGGCTTGGGCTTCCTTGCTCCTTCTAGAAACTAAAGTCCTGACCGCTCTTTTACGGGACACGTGGAGCTACACTCATAGGTTGGGGTACAGATAACTCAGCTTTGTCACGCAGTAAGCACAACCAGAGTGAGGAAGGGGCTGCCCCGACCTGGGTCCCCAGGTGGATGAGACACAGAGGACCCCTTCCAAGGGCTTTCACCTGTGAGCAAACACACTCAAATGATGCTCTCCACACATTCCAACAACCGTGGACAGGTCATAGCTCAGCTCGTAGCTTAGCTCGACGAGGACAGTGCCAGCTCCCCCTCTGAGTGGGAAGGGAAGGTCCTGCTTACTGAGAGCAGGGAGCCTGGTGTAAGGTAAAGTTTCCAGCCCCCCAGTTGGGGTCGGGGATCATGATGTAATGCTCAGGGTCGGTGCCTGCAGCAGGCCGGAACCTGGGGATTAGGAGGGTTACATCTACCTAAAGCGTAAATATTGATTCCTGTGGATGAGTCCAGGGGTCCTTGGGAAACTCTTATAGTTAGCACTAGAGCCATTAGCAGCTTCTGTCTTCCTGAGCAGA